CTGCTAACCATTACCCACTCCACCATCCCCTCTTCCTCCCCAACATTCCCCACTCCCTCGTCCAGATGCATTCCCAAATGATCTGATGTTCCCATCAGAAAAGTGGGAACCTCAAATTTTCTGATGTTCCCATCACTGAAATATAAGAAAAACAGTTAAAATATATATATATATATATATATATATATATATATATATATATATATATATATATATATATATATATATATATATATATATTGTTGGGGAATTAGGTTCCACTCTCTGGTGGTGTGAGCAACAGTTATACTCAAGGTCACTCACCGTAGCCCTGCGGGTCTTCACTCTATCCTCGCGGCGCCACTGCACGCCAGGAGAGTATCCCAGTCAATCCCAACCGGCCTCTGATTGAGAAGGAGTGGGAACACAACTCGTTCACTTAACTGTTATGTGCCCGCCCCAACAATAGGGCTTTACTATTAACCACAAGGTCGCCAACTGGTGTTTTCGGTGTCCAGTAACACGTCAGTGGATTTGTTGAATTTGCGGTAACCTTGGCAAGGACACACTCAATAGATCAGGATATCAGGCAGGTATTTACTTCTATCACTCTCTGTCTGCAGGTATTATATAGCCACAAGATAAATGGAGGGGATGATATAAACACAAATGTATTTTGTATTTTACTTAAAACTCATTCAAAAGGCATCACAAGGTCATATCAATAAACAATCAGCTGATCCAGACGGGAGTCGTTCGTTCCCATGTATAATATACACTCGCTAAGTCGGCAACACTCCCCCTCTCGTCACTGTCAAAATCAGCTGGGCGCCTTCCCCCGCGCGAATGTTTATTGCTTGTTTCTCTGGCGTCATGCGCGCTGTTTCTTTAAGTTCTCAAAGATCACTAGAAGTTCGAACACTCGATATTTGCGACAATAGCACGTATTACTTCGCTACACTGTTCTCGGGCTCAAACAATCGTTTCTATAATAAATGCGACAATAATTCACTGTAATGGTATTACACACTGCCCTTCGTTTATTTATAATTTATGAATTATTTAACACTGGAGTTCTCAGTAATTTCCTTTCGTGGGCGATAACGCAATTAATCACTGCACACACGCATGATTATTCAGTGCACGAACATAGACATATATAATATATATAGATAAATCAGACATCAATAAATGGTAATAAATAGTTACTGGGCACATAGCCTAACTTCCAAATACTGGCATAATATTATATATATTCTCTCACTATATGTTTCAATTAAAGTCTCATGAAAGACATTCTCAACACAGTAAATTCATCAATAACTCCGGGTGCCTGTACACACCAATAATAAACATGAATATCGTGAGTACTCTTGATAGTACTATTCTGCACACTGGTGCCTTACTGTGACATAGGTGAGCCTTGCTCACGACATACAAAATCCTCAGGCTAAATATATAGCTGAATAATATAGCTGACTAAAGGGGAATTGGGAGGGAAACTAGAACCACCTACTTCCACCTATCCTCCGATGAGAGTTGAGTTGTAGTTCCTGGTCCTGGCTCCTGCCTTGTGTCAGGAACGCCCCCACACACACACGTTGTCGTGTCCTCCAGGAACTCAAACAATGTCCCACCGTAAGCGCATCGTCTCCGTGCCTTATCCCTGCAGGTCCGTGCTCCTCCTCGACTTCTTGTAGGGTTGGAGTCGGTCTCCCGGCTGTCGACTTCTCCCAGCTACGGCTGCCCGCCTACTTCTCGGCTGCAGTCGTTCGTATTCCCAAATAGTCCTCTTCTTCCTCTGCTACCCAGTGGCTCTGTTCAGCCACTACGCCTTCACGAATGGGTGAACTGCCTCAGACGTCGCATACGTCACTTCACAGACTTCACTTCTTGCACAGTACCTGTCCTGGAGCACTTGTTGCTCAATAACCGTCGATTCCCTCTCTGGTTCCACACATGAACGAAGGAAGACCTCACAGAGTACTGGCAGACTTCAGGTGACGCGTAAAATCCACGGGAGTGGGAAAACACTGCCAAACTGACAGGACCAATCTTCGCACGTCCAACCTCCTTGACATGTCGTGTCTGACTGATGGCGCCAACGCGGCGCGCTGACCGGACCCCCCTTCCTTCATGACGTCACATTTGCCACGGGAGGTTTTCATTGGCTCCCTGTGCCACATTGCTGTCGGTGACCAATCCGGTGTCACTGACGTCACACAGTTTTGGCGGGGAAACAGGAGAGCCAGCGCCATCTTGGCTTCCTAAAGGGCCTAAACCACAGGCCAAAATATCATTGTTTTATAAATTTCTCGGCACTCCGAGAACACTCCACTCTCCCACATATATCAAATTGATGCCTGCGACGTAGAGAACGCTTGGGTAAAGTGGACATGACTCTTACTGCAGGCGTGGGAGAAATATAAGGGGGGGGGGGAACACCGTCACAATATATATATATATATATATATATATATATATATATATATATATATATATATATATATATATATATATATATATATATATATATATATATATATATATATTCTCACGAAATGAACGGTATGGTAAACAACACAGCTCAATTCCAACACAAAGTTACGCAAAATAATTAAATCAAAATGAAAATAAATATAAACCTATGAAAATTCAATTATCAATGAAGTTAAAAAATGTTGAAATGGAATTGTAACATATTTAGTAAAGCGTTTGTTGCTCTTACGTGCAAGATGGCGCTGTTTTTCATAAAAAACATGTTTTTACCTGTTACAGGTGTGGCATCTGTACTTATACACACGAAATGAATGGTATGGTAATCAACACAGCTCAATTCCAATGCAATGTCACACAAAATAATTAAATCAATATTAAAATAAATCGAAATCTATGAAAATTCAATTTGTCAATGCAATCGGAAACACTTGAAATGGAATCGTAACATATTTAGTATAGCAATGTATTTGATATAAGGATCAAGCTCGTGTATTTGATGTAAGAGTTGCTCTTACATGCATCAGATGATGCTGTTTCTTAAAAAAAAAAGATTTTTACCTGTCACAGGTGTGGCAACAAATACTTATACTTATGAAATGAATGGAATGGTAAAAAGCACAGATCAATTCCAGCGCAATGTCACACAAAATAATTATATCAAAATGAAAATAAATAAAAATCAATGAAAATTCAATTCATCAATGCAATCGGAAACAACAAAAAGGAATCATAACGTATTTAGTATAGCGAGTGTTGCTATTATGTGCAGCAGATGGCGTTGTTTTTCAAAAAAGCATGTTTTTATCTGTCACAGGTGTGGCATCTATATAGTAGGTATTTAAAAACATACGCATATTTGAATGGAAGGTTGTGTCAAAATTTCAAAGCAATCTAAGAAGAACTTTCGAAGATTGCAGCGTGTGTTGCTCTTACGTCCAACAGATGGCGCTGTTTAAAAAAACAAACATGTTTTTTCCAGTCACAGGTGAGGCATGTATATAGTAGGTATATAATAACATGCGCCAATTCGAATGCAACATTGTGTCAAAATTTCAAAGCAATCGGTAAGGAGGTTTCGAAGATTTCCTTCACATGAAAAACTCATGTTTTTCCCGTCACAGACTTAACATCTATATAGTATGCATATAAAAACCCGCTCGGATGCGAATGAAACGTTGTGTGAAAATTTCAAAGCAATCGGTGAAGATTTTTCGGAGATTTTGAACAAACGAACATTTACATTTTTATTTATATAGATTGTGACCGATAGGGTGAGATCAATGATTCTAGCGCAAATGTTCTCTAATTTTCCTTAGATTAAAGTTAAGCACTGAATTTTGAGTAAGTTGGCCCGTTAGTCGTAACAATTATGTGTAAAACTCCTCCAGGAATGGTTGCAATTAAAGGATGTACTTACCCGAAACTCAGTGCTTAACATTACCCCATGAACTAGGCATCGATGGTACACTCCCTTTCTTCGATGTCTAAGTGAGAACCAAAGTCAACACTTTCACCACAGAAGTTTATACTAAACCCACCAACAATGGAATGTATAACAATGGTTACAGTGCATGCCCAGACAGATATAAGATACCTCTACCAAGTTCTCCCTGCCCACTGTCTTACCCAGTGTTTGATGAGCACCATTTCCCCTTATTACCCCGCTTTTCCCCAATTTCTTACCATATGTTTGATTGTTCCTATATTATTTTGACCCATCACCTCACCCTACACTACCAGACTAGCTGGCAGCCAGGTTGGTTGGCTAGCAAGCTGGCTGACAGGTTGCTGGCAGGCAAGCTGGCAGGCTAGCTGGCAGACAGGCTGGCAGGTAGGCTGGAAGGCTATCTGGCAGGCAAGAGGTGAATTACAAATTAAGTCATGTTACAGACGTGAGGCTGCAGTAAATCGGTGCAAGGATGTTGGGGGAATTCTCTTGATGTATCATTTCTGTGCATTTCTTTGTTTTATTAAATGTGTGTTTATAGATTTTTCCTCACACCTCTGTGTGATGTGTAAAAGAGATGACGAGATTATCCTTCGTACTGACAAAGATCAATCCCAATAAAATAATTTTGGAACTAATAATGGAGTAAGGTCTGAGAGAAGGACACCCGAGTACATTGGGAAAGAGAGAGTGACCAATATGCTGAGCCGTTATGATGGCAGGTATAGTTCCCGTGTGTGTGTCGTCTCTACTGTTCCCTAGAACTACCAAAGTGGAAATGCACTGGTGTTAGTTTCTCCATTATGTCCAATATTCCGATTTTTCTTGTACTATCGGATTTCGTAATTATATCTTATCTCTCGAGGATACCTAGCTACGAACCTGGAGGTAAAACAAACAATTAGGAGTGACAAGTTCAAGGTGAACATGCTTCATTTCTGCCAGAAGGTGTATATCAGTCAGGGAAATCGTAATCTGCATAAATAAAAGACTTCAGCTGCCCAGTTCCCATGTGGATGACGCAAGGTCACGCCAGTAAAAAAGGTGGACGCTTCCTGGTTCCGATATAAAGCGACCAGGTACTTGGAATGACGGTGAGACGACGGCAGATTTCACAAGCAAACCTGGTTAAGAGACTCGTAGCATCACTATTTCACCACTGTCACCACCACCTGAGACCTGCACCACCCTAGGTTACCATTACCTGAGATCACCACCAGCTGAGGTCACCACCAGCTGAGGTTACCACCACTTGAGGTCACCACTACCCGAGGTCACCACCATCCGAGATCACCACCAGCTGAGGTCACCATGTTCGTGCCAGTTCTGCTGGTCATCAACCTCTTGACGCAGGTGGAGGCCGGTGAGTGGTATTAGATATATTATGTAGTAGTCAGCATAACTATAATCATATTTTGACTCGGCATGAGAATAGAACCGCAAATTTTATAGTAAAATAGTGTAACGTTAGGTATTGGAGTAGTGTTCCCGTTCGCCTGAACGGTGTTCCAGACGCCTGGACGGTGTTACAGACGCCTGGACGGTGTTCCAGACGCCTGGACGGTGTTCCAGACGCCTGGACGGTGTTCCAGACGCCTGGACGGTGTTCCAGACGCCTGGACGGTGTTCCAGACGCCTGGACGGTGTTCCAGACGCCTGGATGGTGTTCCAGACGCCTGGACGGTGTTCCAGAAGCCTGGACGGTGTTCCGGACACCTGGACGGTGTTCCGGACACCTGGATGGTGTTCCAGACGCCTGGACGGTGTTCCAGACGCCTGGACGGTGTTGCAGACGCCTGGACGGTGTTCCAGACGCCTGGACGGTGTTCCGGACGCTTGGACGGTGTTCCGGACACCTGGACGGTGTTCCGGACACCTGGACGGTGTTCCGGACACCTGAACAGTCTTACTACAGGATAAAAAACCAGGGCAGGCTTCATCCGGCTCCATATAAAGCAAGGACAATCTCAAAGTATGTTAAGCAACTAAAAAGTATATATGGCAGATAATAAAATATTTAAATAAAACAATGATAGTTTGCCAGTGTATAACAAAGAATACCTTAATTTTTTTTAGCTAATAAAATATAGGGATAGCGAGAACAGAACTTGGGTGATAGAACTAAATATTGAAAAGTTTTACTGCTGAAGTAAAGTAGGATTGCTTTATTGACTGAGCTGCTGAAAACAGCTTGGGTGACCTAACTGGATGATTCATGATTGCCTTAACTGGAGGATTCATGGGTGACGTGACTGGTTGACTCATGGGAGACGTGACTGGTTGACTCATGACTGACGTGACTGGTTGACTCATGACTGACGTGACTGGTTGACTCATGACTAACGTGACTGGTTGACTCATGACTGACGTGACTGGTTAACTCATGACTGACGTGACTGGTTGACTCATGACTGACGTGACTGGTTAACTCATGACTGACGTGAGGGGTCACCTTCACACTCATCACTAACTATGCTCATCTCCTGGTGCGGGCCGTGACGCAGGTAAGTCCTCGTGCCCTGAGCCCTTCGTCAGGATCGGGGAGGGCTGCTACTACTTGTCTCAGACGGCGATGACGTGGAGCGAGGCGCGGGGGTACTGCCAGGACCTCCTGCCGGGGGAGGACGCCGACCTGGCCGTCTTCGAGACCTACTGCAACGACTACTCCCACATAGCTTCCTACGCCCTTAATGCCGGTAGTGACTCCTTACTGTTTTTTCTTTAGTGTAGTTGTGTACACTTGCCTAGTTCTCTGTGTTACACCAAGCTGTGACAGCTGGCGTCAAGCTGTGAGAGCTGGCGTCAAGCTGTGTGAACTGGCGTCAAGCTGTGCAGCTGGCGTCAAGCTGTGTGAGCTGGCGTCAAGCTGTGTGAACTGGCGTCAAGCTGTGCAGCTGGCGTCAAGCTGTGTGAGCTGGCGTCAAGCTGTGTGAACTGTCGTCAAGCTGTGTGAACTGAGGTCAAGCTGTGTGAGCTGGCGTCAAGCTGTGTGAACTGGCGTCAAGCTGTGCAGCTGGCGTCAAGATGTGTGAACTGGCGTCAAGCTGTGTGAGCTGGCGTCAAGCTGTGTGAACTGGCGTCAAACTGTGTGAACTGGCGTCAAGCTGTGTGAACTGGCGTCAAGCTGTGCAGCTGGCGTCAAGCTGTGTGAACTGGCGTCAAGCTGTGTGAACTGAGGTCAAGCTGTGTGAACTGAGGTCAAGCTGTGTGAACTGAGGTCAAGCTGTGTGAACTGAGGTCAAGCTGTGTGAACTGAGGTCAAGCTGTGCAGCTGGCGTCAAGCTGTGTGAACTGTCGTCAAGCTGTGTGAACTGTCGTCAAGCTGTGTGAACTGAGGTCAAGCTGTGTGAACTGAGGTCAAGCTGTGTGAACTGAGGTCAAGCTGTGTGAACTGAGGTCAAGCTGTGTGAACTGGCGTCAAGCTGTGCAGCTGGCGTCAAGCTGTGTGAGCTGGCGTCAAGCTGTGTGAACTGAGGTCAAGCTGTGTGAACTGAGGTCAAGCTGTGTGAACTGAGGTCAAGCTGTGTGAACTGGCGTCAAGCTGTGTGAACTGAGGTCAAGCTGTGTGAACTGGCGTCAAGCTGTGTGAACTGAGGTCAAGCTGTGTGAACTGGCGTCAAGCTGTGCAGCTGGCGTCAAGCTGTGTGAACTGGCGTCAAGCTGTGTGAACTGAGGTCAAGCTGTGTGAACTGGCGTCAAGCTGTGCAGCTGGCGTCAAGCTGTGCGAGCTGTCGATAAGCTGCTAGCTCTTATATCTCAAGAGCATAATAATAAGAGAGACTGCAGATCCTCTATTAACCCATTCGAGGCAGTTTATATTTATATATATATCCACGTAGACTCTTTCCTATTTGTGTCTAACCTACTCTTCAAACAATTAAAGGATCTCACTTCTATTATGATGTTCGGTAACTTGAACCTAAATCTACACGTCAGATAATAAACCAGTATTTACCCAGGTCTTACCTGTACCTAAACTTGCCCAATATATATCCATTGTTTTCCAGCAATATTTTGCGACATTATTTTATAAAGTGGTTCTTCTTGAAACCACTATATTTAAAACTTTATTTGCATCACTTTTGTTATGTCCATTCAGTCGTAATAGTCCTCAATCGTTTCATCTCTCAGTCTTCGTCTGACTTGAGAATGTAAATTTTGCATTTTTAAATCTCTCTTCATAAGGAAGGTTTCAAATTTATGAGATAAACTTTGTCATTCTTCTCTCTATGCATCCATTTGAATATATGTTAATTCCACACGTGAACGTGTGGAGACCAAAACCGAACTGCATAATATATAAATGGTGCCTAACATGTGCAAGATTAAGTTTGCTTAAGTTGGTAACATCTTCGTTTTAGTCAATCTTCGGAATTGCCTCAACCTGTTCGTTCCCATCCGTAATTATCCCAACATCGACGTTTTTTCTAATCACTCATTTATGCGATTACAAAAAACATCAATTTCTTTACATAACAGAAGGTCTTTGTTTGTTTTGTTAATGCCCCTGAGGACCTTGGACATCGTGGTCATATCTCCTCTGCTTCGTCTCTCATCCACTAATGTGAGGTTCATTGCCCTTAATTCTTCTTCAACGTTCATTTCAGTTATGTGATCACTTCCAAATTGGCCCCATAACTGTGGAATATTTAATTATTCATTTACGTTAAGCTATTCTCTACAACTGCTATAGCATCATCGTCTGTGTATCCTTCTCTCTCTCAGAGTTCCTCTGCTATTATTTGTCATGCTATCAGCGTTGGTGTACCAGAGTTTTTGGCAATACATTGTTTATACAAGTCTTTGACCAGGTCAGTCCAACCTTATGGGTAGGGTCTTAGTTACCTTATGGGTAGGTACTACCCATAAGGGTAGGTACCTATGGGTAGGTACCTACCATAAGGTACCTTATGGGTGAAGCACGGGTCATACCCTATGGGTGGAGCACGGGTCCTACCCTATGGGTGGAGCACGGGTCCTACCCTATGGGTGGAGCTCGGGTCCTACCCTATGGGTAGGGCACGGGTCCTACCCTATGGGTGGAGCACGGGTCCTACCCTATGGGTGGAGCACGGGTCCTACCCTATGGGTGGAGCACGGGTCCTACCCTATGGGTGGAGCACGGGTCCTACCCTATGGGTGGAGCACGGGTCCTACCCTATGGGTGGGGTAAGGGTCCTACCCTATGGGTGGGGTACATGTAAGATCAAGTTAATAACCAGAGTGGGGAGGGCAGTAGTGGAAGGGGAAGAAGGTATAGGGGAGTGGAGGAGAATTGGCCATTCAGAAGATGCGGGTAGATTGATGAAGTGATATAGTGGGAGGGAGGAATTTGTAGATATTTTGGAGGAAGCGAAATGATAGAATTATAGATAGTTAGTGGATGGGGGGTAAGGGAACTGGTGAGGCTAAGGTGAGTGGATTTTTGGTACTTGGTCTATTTGGTCTGAGAGAGAATGTGCAGGTGGAGAGTTAGAGTGTTGTTCCTGCCCAACATGAATACTGAAGACGCCTCCCTGATTGTTCCCATGTGCTGGCACTCGCTTAACCTCGTAGTGTGTCACTTGCGTGTGTCTGGTAGGCTGGTGTCTCCTTCTCTACTCTCCCTCCAGGAAGCTCATTCCCGTCCCTCCAACACTTCCCCTGCCCTTCCCTTCCTTGTTCTCCCATTATTCATATTTTCTCCTTATTCATTTAGTGGGACTGGAGGTCACTTCTTGGAACCACTTTAACTTGACTACCACTTGACAACACTTATCACTCCAGATTCACTGTGGCCCCTATTCCAGTAGGCTTTCCCCTTAATTGTCGCTGCAGGATATTGTTTGACCGTACCTTACTTCTCTTAAGCTACTGCTTTAATAATACTCGCCCCTGGAGCCTCCCCTGTGGTCTCTTCCCACGTCAGGTATTATGATGAGCTGGTTGGAGATTTAAACCCAAAAGGGAGCTCTGGTTGTTTCACTAGACTGTTACTTGCATGCAGGCGGACAGTGTCTCCAACCACTCCCTGACAGAACAACAGTCGACCTCAGCAGCCACACTCCCAGTACCGTCAGCTGACCAACAATGGACACTAGAGTGCTTGCAATATATCTAGGAGATCACCCTGTACGCATCTACATCTTGGAGATGGGTTCAGCATCACCAACTATACATATCAAGCGGCTGCACAACTCTTGGCTCAAAACCTACTATCCCCCTCACTGTTTGGGGCTGAAATACCTGACACGACAAAAATGTATCTTCAACCATACAAGTATATGAAACTCTGCTCGGGGCTGAAATACCTGGAACATATACATAAGTATCCCTCAACAAAAGAAGAAATCAATCTCTCACCTTACACTGCGTCTTATATGCCAATAAGCATTCAAACAATAATGTGTCTTATACAATAATGTGTCCAAAACGATCCTCTATTCTGATCCTAGAGGCTCACTATCAATGCATATCTTTAGTTCTTTCAAAAATCAGGAAAGGCACTTCTTCAGTTCTCCCAATCTGCTGCCCAACGAAGTCCTACTCCAACATCAGTGACGCTCCTTCACTGGTTCCACAATAAAACGTGTAGCTTCCCTACACTGCTTGAAGTTCAACTCCTCACTATGGAGTTCTGCTGTACCTCAGAGTTCAGCATACACTTCTTTCTCTCTAGCCTCTAGCCTCGGATCTTGAAAAAAGTAGTTAGATATTCCTCTTGAAGACGTCTCGCCGGATGTCCATAATGCGGTAACCCCCAGACTTTCCCTTTGAGATCCGCCTTCCGTAAATCACAGATTTTTTCCGTCATATAAGAGACGCCTCGCGACCAACACCTGTGTTTGATGAGCTCAGGTGTTGTCTCTTGACTCCAGCTCCACCTCCTTGGAGTCACGTGACCTCGTGTCATGCCCTGGTTGGATGACCGATATATACATTGACCAATAAGGTCGCATGCCAATATTCAGGATTGTTGTTCTTTTAGATTCAGCTACTTGGAACAAAGAGTTGCAAGTAGCATGGGTTATGGTGTGCCCGTAGTGGACTTAATAATCTTCAGGAATCCAGTGTTGGAAAGTTTCCAACACTAATACATCATTATTGTATAACAATACATCATTATTGTATTAACCCATAGTAATTACTAACACTACTAATATGTAGAATTAATAGCATTAGCGTTTCAATAGTAAGGCATAATTTAGCCAGAAAATTCCCAGCCATCATGACGCAAAGCGTCGATTGCAAGCTTAAACATGAAGTCTCCCACACATGTTGGAGAAATATAGAGTGCAGTTAATTACTCTTTGAACAAATCCACAAGGGCCGTGACGAGGATTCGAACCTGCGTCCGAGAGCATCCCAGACGATGCCTTAATCGACTGAGCTACGACATGGCAAAAAGGAGTTGAAACCGAAGTTCTATTGAACTTACTGGATCCTGCAGCTTCTCCGAGGCACAAACCAGGGTTTTACACAACTTTCCCCCCTTCATTTGTTCATTTGATACATCACGCAATTGTGATTTCTGTGTAATAATTACGTTCTTTCTAGAATTATTGTTCTTTATGAAAGAGATAACCGTTTCGCATACTTATGCGTACTGAGCTTGGGTATTTACCCAAATTAATTATTCCAGTAAAATATTACTGTGGCGTAAAATAAAAACACGTCAACCCTTCTCGTTCAATTTGTGCAATGTTAATTAGATCAGTTGCCTTACGAGAAAAGATATTATTATCCAATATATTTATTGGTGATGATAGTTGAAATTGTACTTCTTCCTTTTCCCAAATAATTAATAATAAACCGAAATGGTTTAAGTCCGGGATCGCTTTGAGCGTCTCTGCGCATGCGTGACCGAGCGTGGTGGGAGGAAGGAGGAAGGACTCAAGCACAAGGTGTCGCGTGGTGCACACGTGCCTCCACAGACGGCAGCCATTTAACAACATCACGTGGTCTACAGTACTCCAACTGTTTAATTGCGCGTCTAGAAATATAGTCACGGCTCGTAATCACACGTCCACAGCAGTGAACATCAGGGACTGGCAGACACAATATCAGCAGGCTTTAGTGTTCCAACACGCTCAAGTTAAGTATACATTTTGGTTTGATGCATCATTCTAGATTGTGTATTTGTGGGTAGCCTGTCGTTAAGTTGTGAGGAGACCACCAGTACAATGTTAGTTTCTTACAATTTTTAATTCCAATTTCAGTGAGTATTGGAATAAATTATAGCCTAGTCAATTGCTACTTAAATTTCCTCTATTACAGCGCGTAGACGAGGATGAACCAAGTTTTTCTTCCTTCACCTACGATGTTCACCACTGGTGTTTCTTCCTTATTGGGACCTTGTGATCACGACGACCAGTAGCGAAACGGACATAGTGAATTCGTCTTACAAATAAGACAAAATCTTGTTGTATAGAAAATTTGGCTAATGTCATTATTAATTTCTATATAAATATTTCTATATATGATGACCATGAGGAATAATATAACGCAATAATTTACTGCTCAGTACTCAGAAAGTTTGCATATATTATTTCTTAGGATTTAATAATCTTTCAATATATTGATTATTTAATACTTCATGATTCTTTAGAATCTACATTCTAGTTCAGATTCTACTATTTTACTAACCCCATTAATGAACTGGTGACGAACCACACTGGTTCCTAGATATATATGAACTTCTAGAAATACTCCCCCAGTGTTGTTATTTGAGGCTTTTAACTTTAATCAATTAATAATACAGTCCATTCATTCTCTTTAAGTGATTGTTAAATAATCTAACATACATAGGCACTGGTTCTATAGTGTCAATAGTGTACCTGCCTAGTCTATACTCAGATTATATATAATCACTTTTAATTGTTTTCCCTCTTTTCCCAAAAGTGGGTGGTCCCTGAATTATATTAATTCTCATAATTAATTCCATATTTGAGTCATAGCCCTATATACCCAACATCTAGAACCTAACATGTCTCGCGGCAGATGATGTGAAGATACGAACTGATGCCACATATGGAAATTATCTTCTACAGGCTGGTCTTGATAATTCAACAAAATAAATATTATACAATAAATATATAACCTATATACTGCTAATTCTAACTAAAGTTACTCTGGGCTGTCTGATATTAGGTGTCAGTATAACTTAAAGCAAGAAGAGTTAATGGAGATGATGGATCTACAACATGTGTTAAAAGTTACTTTCTGTATATAGTTTCATTATTATCCACTTGCTCGATTTAAACTCTAGTATCTTTTTATTGGATTATTATTTCCTGTGTCTACGTCATCTTGTAGTTTCTTTAGTTCTTTAAATGAACCCCCCTCGTTATTTTATCGTCTTCAGCATACACTGAGATAAATGTGTCTATCCTGCCTTGATAGATGTTAGTCCTACAGAGTCCCACAGGCTCAGTGGGACCCCTCTGGTGACATTTCGCTATTCTGAGAACACTCCTCTGATAACTCCTCAGTTACTTCCTTATCTACTGTCATCTTACCTGTCACTCCTGGCTGCTTCTCCAGCTTGAGCACTTTTCTCTTGCTGGACATCGTGTCGAAAACTTGCTGACAATCCACACATTTGCGAGCTGGTCACTCTTCTCTGTCTTGTCTAATATTGTTCGCCCGATCATTGAATTCTGTCAGGCTAGTTAAGCAAGGTTTTCCATCCCTGAACACGTGTTGGTGGTGAAACATAAGGTCTCTTATCTCTATATGTGCTACTAGGCTCTTCTTAAAAAACTTCATCTGCCTTACATTGCATGCAAGTTATGAGCACACGCCCAAGATGCCTCTATTTTAGTGCCTCCTGTCTGTCCACAGAGAAAATTAACATTTACTCTGGATCCTTTTTAACATTTCTGTGAATAACGTTTGTACAGTACAACTCATCCACTATTTGCGTTGTAGCTTCTGGAGGCTTAGTTGTCTCATGTTGGCTCTATGATGGACTCTCCTTGAGGCTCTGTGTCTCGTCACTGATGACTTCAACACACTCTGGACGCTGTTCTGTCCCTCCCTCATCTCAAACCATATCATAATGACCTAACCCCCCCCCCCCCCCATGTTTTGTGTGTGTGTGTGTGTGTACTCGCACGTGTGAAAGTGTCTATTTGTGTATGTACTCACATATTTGTACTCACCAGCTTATTCCCGCTAGATCAAGCTCCAGCTTTGGTGCCCGTCTTTTCTGCCACAAGGTGTATGATTCAGCAATTACACGCCTAAATTTTTCCTACCTTTTGTCTTTTATCTGTCTGCTTGTGTTATATATTTCATTTACTATTATGCTTTACAAAATACACACTTCTATATGTGTGTATTTTTTAAAGTATTCAATTTATATGTATACAATTTTAAATGTATAGCCACTCCATGGAGTGGTTGTTGACATTCTTCACGATACAGCCGCCTCCTTCATGAAGTGAGAGAGGCGCCTACAGTCATCATGTAAAGTGTGTCCTCACTTATGACAGAACTGTCCCCTTAATCAACACTTTCTCTTCACCAGAGACGTACTTCTTTTGGGTGGGTGGCACGGACGAGGGCCACGAAGGATACTGGAACTGGGTGGATGGACGCCCTATTAACCTGGAGGCCACTTACTGGAGAGAACAAGAGCCAAAATCCAGTACATCATATAACTGCATTATGTTTGTTGATTTTTATGAATCCAACCATAGGATGCGCCTCGAAGATTACACCTGTTCTGCCTCAGAACTCTTCCTGTGTCAGCTGGGTGTCCACGCCCTGAAATAGTTCATGAGTTGTTGTTATGTAAATCCAGGCACGTCAACTGAGTGTACACACACACACACACACACACACACACACACACACACACACACACACACACACACACACACACACACACACACACACACACACACACACACACACACACACACACACACACACACACACACACACACACACTGTGTGTGTGTGCACTGATGTGCACACACATTGCACACTCTCTGTGCAAAATATGCACACACATTTTCTCAGAGAGAGAAAAAGACTTGGGGATTGACATCATGCCAGACCTGTCCCCTGCAGACCATATCAAGAGGATAACATCAGCGGCATATGCCAGGCTGGCCAACATAAGAACGGCATTCAGAAACTTGTGTAAAGAATCATTCAGAACTTTGTATACCACATATGTCAGGTCAATCCTGGAGTATGCAGCCCCAGCATGGAGTCTATATGTAGTCAAGGATAAGGCCAAATTGGAAAAAGTTCAAAGGTTTGCCACCAGACTAGTACCCGAGCTGACAGGTATGAGCTACGAGGAGAGGCTACGGGAATTAAACCTCACTTCGCTGGAAGACAGAAGAGTTAGGGGGGACATGATCACTACATTCAAGATTCTGAAGGGAATTGATAGGGTAAAGACAGGCTATTTTACACAAGGGGCACACGCACTAGGGGACACAGGTGGAAACTGAGTGCCCAAATGAGCCACAGAGATATTAGTAAGAACTTTTTTAGTGTCAGAGTGGTTGACAAATGGAATGCATTAGGAAATGATGTCGTGGAGACTGACTCCATACACAGTCTCAAGTGTAGATATGATAGAGCCCAGTAGGCTCAGGAATCTGTACACCAGTTGATTGACAGTTGAGAGGCGGGACCAAAGAGCCAAAGCTCAACCCCCGTAAGCACAAATAGGTGAGTACACACACACACATCGGTGGGGCGTCGATGGTGGTGTGTATAGCACGCAGGACACGTAATCCTGTGGCCCAGGTTCGATTCCACAGAATCGACAAATTTGTTCCAGAAGTTGTCCCAACTATCTTCCCTTGTACCAGAGAAAGCTGAGAGACTGAGTGATGGTAATTTGACTTCTGGTTGGGTCGGGTTTTGGGAAGCTGTGACTGCAATGTTTGTAGTGGCCTTGTGTATGGTCATTAAATTGTCAGTGTTGTAACTTTGTATGTATTGTATCTTCATAATCTGCGTTTTCTTGTACTACAGCGTCCATTGCCTCTTTATCGATGTTAGTAATAGCAAGTACATCCTGATATTTCAGGATTTGCATTTGTACATGCTGATATTTGGTCTGTGCAACCTTATAATGGCCTTCCAGTTCTACATAATCAACTGGAGTTTGATTACATAAATCTTCACATTTTTTTATCTGTCGATTAAGTGGCCTTTCATTCCAGTGAGGGTCGCTTTTATATTTTTGGCAGTAGACATAATGGCTGTATTTGCTAGCCGTGTTGCAGATGTACTAGTGCTAAGCCTTGTTGGACTTTGATTTGGACTGTTTCTAGCACTTGAGCTAGTAGAGGAACTAATTTCTGAACTATAGCTGTTTATCATTTAAAAAATACACTATATAATCATACACACTATAATTTGAGTGGTAACCTTGTATCAATGCTGGATTTACTTCAAGTTAGCTCCTCAATTATCACTCTTAGTTGGTACAGAGACACAAATAGTACTATATTATTCTAAAATGTTAAATGGGATTCTTATATTGTGATTTCTGTATTTGTACTCACTGAATTTGTGCGCCCCTTGAGAGACTTGAAGTATGGAGAAGGGGGGGGGGGTTAGAAATAGCCTAAGCTACTCTTTGAGATATATATATATATTTTACTTGTCTCAATTAACATATTTGAACTTCAGAGAACATTATGTATTAGAATGTCAACTTATTGATAACTGTAGAAATAAGGAAATAAGTAATGTACCACATCAAATTGTTTGGATGTGTAATAATGGTATGATAGACAGAATACTTAGGAGCTACAAGAATTTTGCCTAATGAGTGTAACACTTATATGCTGTGCTTACTATATTAACCTGCAATGTTAAATGGGATTATTGTATTGTGATTTGGTATCTGTACTCACGGAATTTGTGCGCCCCTTGAGGGACTTAAAATAGATAGGGGTAGAAATAGCCTAAGCTACTCTATCCCTTTGAGATGCATTTTTTCTTGTCTCAATAAACGTACTTGAACTTGATGTACTATCTTTGTGTAATGTAAAGGCTTTGCTATGTACTATCAACAATTCTCGGGGATATATTCAGAATCAGGGGCACAAGTTTACGCTCTAGTACTTAAATGAAACCCTTAGTGCATTCCCCATGGTAAATTAGCTTTCAGTACTCGTTTAGTATAAAATGAGCTTAAGAATGCAATCATCCCACAGAAATCTCGTGTTCTGTAACTATTAAAGATCCCATTTTCGCTGAAATCCCCCTCACTGTCTGGCTCGTTGTCGCCATGAGGGGGTTTGGTGGGCAGCTGCTGGAGTGTGATGCTCCATGGGTCAGTCCTCTGTCCTTTTGCAGCCTTATGCTCCTGCTGCTGCCTTCACCAATTTTGCCAGACCCCTTTTCCTTTTCCTCGTGTTTCATTTTTCTCCCCCCCCCCCCCCACTTCTATCAAATTGTCATTTCCTGCCGACCTTTTGCTTGTTTTGATTATTCTTTCGACCTTCTTTTGTTTTGACACCCGGGTGTGTGAGGAGGCATACCCTTGCACTCGTAGAACTGTAGTACCCAACGTCTCGAGCGAGGGGAGCCTTTTATTGTCAATCCTCCTTTCGTCACTGAACCCGCTCTCGACGGACTCACGGTTCTTAAGGTGGCGTTTGTGGGGCGTATACTCATGATGCACCCCTGGGGGGGCCCCAGCAAGATCGGCGATAACTTCTTGTTGGGTGTCCTGCCTCTAATTGTGGCTCCATGGTGGGTGTGGGGGCACATTCGTGAATGAAAGTTTTCCCTCGTTTTCATGGCTGATAATGTTTCCTTTGTACTTTCTCAGGCTCGTGGGGTGGGCGACCAAGCCCCCGAGTTGGACTGTGTTGGAAGACCAGGCCCTGTAGCCCCTGCTGCATTGGGCCCCAACAACCTGACTACTCCCCTCAGCTCCCCTCCCTCCTCTGCGGTTGGGTCGAGTCCCCAGCCCCCAGTGGTGACCACCTCGTCCCCTGGCACGGCTTCGTCTCTCATTGTGACTACTGCGCCTTTTACCCCTATGAACTCCGGGGATTCTCAACGCCATTCCCGCCACGGCCGCACTCCCACGATCCCTTCCCGTAATAGTACTTACAACGCCTTGTTTGGTCCCGCTACGTGGGCTAAATACTTTGATCTCCACCATCTGGATTCTACTCCTCCTGACGATTTCTCCCTCCATAAACACCTTGTTGATTCAGTAGATGCTTCTGTTAGTTTTAACTCCACCAGTTATGGTACGCGTGTCGTCGCTGCTCCTTCTCAGGATGCAGCTATTCGCTTAACCGCTTTATCCTGCATTGGAGAGACCCCTGTTCGGGTCTCCAAGAACGCTCGGTTAAATGCCAGTGTTGGCACTGTTCTCCTCCCACACCATGTTGCAACTGGTGTTCGGGACCTCAAAGATTGCCATGAGGATATTAAACATATCCTCGAAGTCCAAGGCCATTCTGTCCTCCAGGTGGACACGCTTACTCGACCCCCTCGTGGTCGTCGCCGTCAGCCCCTTCGAGTTGTAAAAACCACCTTTGATAGTAGGGCCCTTCCATCCTCTATTCTTCTTGCTGGTGCCAGATGCTCCGTTCAGGAGTACATTCCCTCTCCTAGACTATGCAATAAGTGTTGGATGTTTGGGCACGGTGTCCTCAAATGCACCGGTACTGTGTATCTGTGCCCCTTGTGTGGGGACGATAGTCATTCTAAGTCCGAGTGCACTTCTCCCCAGGCTCGCTGCCTCAATTGCGGTGAAGCCCACCCTACCTTCTCACGCTCGTGCATGCACTACAAACTGAGGAAGCCGTCCTCAACTTGAAGCACCGTGATCGTCTGTCTTTCCCTGAAGCGAGACGCCAAGTTCGTCGTCTCACCCCTTTCGCGGGCGTCTCCTACGCTCGCGTGTTGCGTTCTACCTCTCCTCGTCCTTCCCGTCTTCCTCAGTCTCACAACCGTTTCCAGGCCTTAAACCCGACCACCCCCACCACCTCCTCCCCCTGTTCCTTTGCCTCCTGTCCCAGATGGTCTCCCTCCAGGTTCTCCATCTGGGATTTCCCCCCTTCCTACCCAGTCCGCCATATCTCCTTTGTCTTCTTCCCCATCTCCCCCCACTCTTTCTTCCCGACCCTCCCCCAGTCTCTTGACCCTCCACGCCACCTGTCTGTCCAGGCTGATATACATCATCCTCCCAGCAATCTTCGTGTTGTTCGCTCTCGTTCCTCTTCTCCTGCTGAGACCATTGAGTTTTTCGCCCGGTACCTTGTTACTGGAACACCTGTCTCTTCGAGTCAAAAACGTAAGCCTGGCTCCTCTCCTTCTTCCTCTCCGGCGGGTAAGAAGGTTTCGCTTTCTTCCTCACCCCCTCCCTCTGACTCTGTCACTACATCCCCTCCCACTTCAGTAGTCGAACCCCCTGTCTATGATATGGAGGTTTCTTCCGCCCCCGATTCCCTCTCTGTAGCTGCCCTTCCTGAGGTGCACTCCCTGATTTCTGCCCCCCCCCCCTCCTCCAACTTTCCTTGCCTGCCCCTCTCTGTTGTCTCCTCCTCCTCCGGACCCCGTCAGTCCGCCTCTGGTCTGTTCTCTCGCTCCCTTCCCTCTCTCCTTACTAAGTTTACCCATGCCCCCTAACCCTGATTTTGCCAACCCTGCTCCTGATCCTGACCCTGACCCTGATCCTGAGTTTCTTTAATAAACTGTGTTCCTCTTTACTTTTATTTCTTTCTTGTTCTCTGTTACTGTCCTTTCTCTTTGGTAATGTCTATTCTTCAGTGGAATATTCGTGGATTTTATGCCAACTTCCATGAACTCCAACTTCTAATTACACAGTTTTCATCACTTTGTGTTTGTCTCCAGGAACCAATGCTTAATGCTCGTCCTGGTCACTTTCGTGGTTATTCCTTTCTTTCTTCTTT